AAGCATGTTGCTGGTGGTTGCATGCGTTTAGCTAAGGCTGAATGGGGAGACCGGCCTCGGGAACTTGAGGTTTTACTCTCTCAGAGAGAATTTACCTTATATTGACTTAAAGTGGTGTAACTGATTGATAGACAAAAATTGACATTCTTAACATTATTGGCAGATTTGGGCCTGTTAAGCATTTCCATTTGAAAGACATAAAGCAGCTGAACTGCTTATATATTCAATATGGTTGAAGACAACTATACATTTGCATCCGAGTTTATTCTCCTGGGCTTCACAAACCAAGAAGACCTGCAGGTGATGTACTTTGTCTTATTCCTTGCCATCTATGTGGTCACTCTAATAGGAAATCTGGGAGTAATTATGTTAATCAGAACTGATTCGTGCCTGCACACCCCCATGTACTTCTTCCTAAGCCACTTGTCTCTCCTAGACATCTGCTACTCCTCTACCATCATCCCTCAAACCTTGCTGAATTTTTTAGTGGAGAAGGTTATTTCCTTTGTTAGGTGCGCCACTCAGCTCTTCTCCTTTGCAACCTGTGCCACCACCGAGTGCTACGTGCTGGCTGCCATGGCTTATGATCGCTACATGGCCATTTGTAACCCCCTGCTCTACTCTGTGGTCATGTCCCAGAGGCTTTGCATTGGGATGTTGGCTGGTGCCTACTTAGCTGGTGTGATCAGCTCCACCATACACACGGTTTCCATATTTCGTCTCCCATTCTGCCGGTCTAAGAGGATAAATCATTTCTTCTGTGATGGACCACCGCTGCTAGCCCTCTCCTGCTCTGACACCCATGTCAATGAGGTGATGGTTTCTGCCGTGGTGGGGTTCAACATGCTAAGCACTACAGTCTTCATCCTAGTCTCCTACTTGTCAGTCCTCTCCACTGTCTTGCAGATCCGCTCCATGGCCAGTCGGCACAAAGCCTTCTCCACCTGTGCCTCCCACTTGGTCTCCATCGCTTTGTACTACGGCAGCTCCCTCTTCATGTACTTGCGCCCTGGCTCCAGACCCTCCTTGGAGCATGGCAAGGTGGTCTCCATGCTGTACTCCATCATAGTCCCCATGCTGAACCCGCTCATCTACAGCTTAAGAAACACGGACATGAAGAATGCCATGACGAAAGCAAAAGGCAGAGTCCTCTCCTCCTTGTCCAGGCATGGTTCCTGCTCAGCTGAAAGGAGAGGGCTACCGTGACATGGTGAGGAGGGTTAGATATTGCACCTTCAAGAAGGAGAGTTAGATATTGCTCTTTCAAGAAGCAGGGACTAAATGCACCTGGCAGCAGGACACCTGGAAAATACGCTTCTCCTTGAACCAAGGCTACGTGCTGCACTAGGATGGACAGGACTTTCCCTGGCTGTAGCCTGAGACCTGACAGCGACCATGTATTGGGCAGAAAGTTATTGTCCAAAGTAAATGTTATTTCAATATTACTTGAAATAAATATTATTTATTATTTAAATACTATTAACAAATAATAACCCACTTCATTTCAGGCTTCAGACAGCAAAAGGGAGAATGCAGGCTGTGGCTTTGCCCTGCTGATATCAAACCAGCTAGTGTCTGATCTCTCATGTTTTATATTCATGAACGTCCTCTGGTGATATTCCTGGTATTAGGAGGATGTCAGCTGATTTTTCCAGGAGTTTTAGCTCCAGACCACAAAGTGAGGTTGAGTGAAACAACATTGTGATGGTGTATTGGTCATCAAAGCACTCATGGTAAATGGGGACAAGTCGTATTTGGGCCTCTGCTCTGTCGTGAAGTTAACTGGGCATGTAAAGAGCCAGAGTGCTGGTGGGAGGGAGGATTTTAGGTCTTCCTTTCCCCCGAACAGCCAAGGTGCTGGTGGTCTGCGATCACCTTATGATGGAGATGGCGCAGGTGCAGTACTGAGCTGTCCGGCTCTGGGATTTCAAGCTGCATTACTCACCCTGCAGACACACACCCTACCCAGGCAGGTTTTCTTAGTGGATTATTTAGCCTTCCATGTATGTTTTTAAAATAATCTTTGAAATCTCTTTTTTTTTTGTCCTAAAGTTGAGTGAGGGTTATTTCCCCCCCCCCATTATGTTGCTTTTCCCACTTCACAAGCCTTAGTTTTAGCCCAGTACCCAATGGGGAAGAAAGAAATTAAAAACCATGGGGAAATCCTTTTCCACCCACCTCCAGTGCAGCTCCAGGACTAATAGTCTGCTGCCTTCCAGCAGAAAAACAAATTTACATTAAAAACATCTAAAGGCATCTCCATCTTGTTTCCCCATACTTTCATAGCTCAGTATTCTCTTCCATCTGCCCTGCCCTTTGTGTTTTCTAAATGTCTGGGACAAAGTTATCATTTAATATTTGCACTAAGGGTTTTATAACGTCTCTTCATCTAGCAGACGCTTTCAGGAAACATTGGCACTTGGAATTCATCAGAATAAAACTGGTAAATTTGAGTTAATTCTGTTATAACCTCAAAGCAGCTGTGTAAAATGATGCTTTTGAGCAACCGGTTGTGCAGTCACCAGTAAAGCGTATGGAAATAAATGTATCTGCTGGCGAGGACTCCCCATGGCCACGCTCAACCCATTCACACAGCGGATGCTCCGTCAGGTTTTGTTTTCAGCACCCTTCAACGTAACACGAGCTGATCCATCAGCTTTCCCTGTTGGTAGTAAAGGGCTTCCTCAGTGAAAGACTGAAAGAGAGACGTTTGTGACAGTTGGATAAATAAAAAGCAAACTACCCTGGACTTGTCTTTCTGCAAGACCAGGTGGTGGCACGGGCAGCCTGGGTAGGTCTCTACAGGAGAGTTCGTCGTGCAGGTGGAAAAGTTTTGGAGAGGGAGGAGGGATTGAAAGGGGCTTTTGCTGAACAGGTCAAAATAATTATCAGCTGCAGGAGGATCCCTGAGGGAGAGAAGCTTGCACAAACATCTGAGGTAACGCTTCATCTGGGATAAAACCCCTCTGCTAGCCAGCCAGGGCGATCCTGCCCTCCTGAGCATCTCTTCTCCTGCCGCAGCTTTGACCCATCGGATGGGCTTCTCAAGGAGCTGCAGGTACCACATCTACCAACACCTTTCCTTTTAACCAAGCAGGTAAAAAAGGGTTTGGCGTTTCCCATTGGTGACCCTTGTCGTGCTGCCTCTCACGTGCTTGAAAGAGTTTTTAGTGCAAATGGTACAAGAAGACTCAGCCCGGTGCTTCGCTGCTCTCTCCATCATCCCTTAACCAGTAACACATTTCACAACACTTTGCTTCCAGTGAGACTCAACCAATTTATCTCTTTAGCTGTTTGTATACTTCATATTGCAAAAAAATACATTAGTATTGATTAACACCTGAAAAATGTACACGAGTCCCTTTTTGTGGGAGCTGGGCTCAGTGTAATAAGTTATAAGGAGCAGGTTACTTTTTTAAATTTCATGTTACAGTAATATTTATGTAATTTTTTTTAATTTCTGCATTTCAATGATCAATTGGCAAACCTAGAAAAAAAAACCCTAATTAATGCTTCTGTTTTGTTCATATGACTGAAGCTTCCCACACTCCTTTTGAGATGAGAAGAAAATTCAGAATAAAAGCATCTGCTCTGTGAAGTCCGGAAGCACAGGCTCAGGCTCAGGAGTAGCTCCATCTGTACTTGGCAAGATTTTAAATATTTTTATTATTTAAAACAATTTATTTAATATTTAAATATTTTTTAATATTAAGCATGTTTTTAACCTTGAAGTTCTTTAAGATACGATTATCCTCTCCCTGACTGCAGGTTCACATATGAGCTGCTCACCAAAGGTTGCCTCTACGGGATGGAAACGTCCACCTCTAGGACACAATCAATTTAATTCCAGTGATGAAATTGTTGTCAATAGAGAGAAATGCATGCTTCAAGGGTATGAATCGTCCAGACGGAGCTGTATCTCCAATACCAAGAGAAGTTGACTGAGAAGATCTGAGGTCGTTAGAGTGAAACAAGTGGTGCTGGGACTTAAATCACCCTCCTGTACTCCCTGCAGCCTTATGTAGTTGTTTAATTCAGCCCATTCTGGGGGAGCAGATGCTGTTTTGTGGCCGGGATGTGCTGGTGGAGCTGCATCTAAAGGAATTCCATCCGTGCTCTCCAAGAGCATCCATGGCGTGAACCCAAGTGTCCTAGCAGGGGTTAGGAGGTTTGCTTCAAAAAACCCACGCTCCTGATCTAGGGACACTTCAGCAAAGATGTAGATATCTGTAGATAGATCTTCCATCAGATAATTCAGCTGCAGAGGGGCTGAAAGGGGGAGATGGGAATATCCAAGCTGAAGCTTTAAAAAGTTGGGTTTATATATACTATATTTTAACACCGTTATGTGGATATTTGAGTCAGTCATAGAAAGCTCACTGCAATCACAGCAAAGCTGTGCTGGAGACAATACCACTGCTCCCTGCCCCGCCCCCCTCCCCCCCCCAACACATGCAGGGTTTTTTCTTCAAAAGCAGTTAAATTTAGAAGTTAAAAACAAAACAAAAATTTCGAGTGCACGGCTTTGTTTCCTAATGGAAAGGCTGCACCAGAACTAATGAGGCCACAGAAGAGCACTGACACAGTCTGAAAAAAAAAAAGAAGAGAGAAAAAAACCCTTGACATTTCCAGAAATCAGTGGTGAGAATATGAATCTTCTGTTTTCCATATTTTGGAAAGTGTTTATTTGACTTAATTTTTTTACACTCAGATAAACATTTTGATATTTCTTAGTGCATCATTAGTACAGTGTCTATAAATCATTGCAGAATTACTCCCTTTTAACATCTGACTGCATAATTAGCTCCTTCACCTGTTTGACTTCAAAGCTTGGGCTAAAGGCAGAAACACAGTTCCCTTGTATTTTTCTAAAAGAATGCACCATTTTCTGTTGCATTTACTTTACGGATTAAAATCTGATGGTTCCACAGTATTTCTCTCTTAGGGATTCATTTCACTGACTCATTTTATTTCTATGCAAATTCATCTAACTTGTAGAAATGATGGATGGAGAAAACCTCACTGTTTTGTCCGGCTTCATCCTCTTGGGCTTCTCTGATGCCCCAGAGCTACAAATCGCTTTATTCACAATTTTCTTATCCCTGTATGTTTTCATGGTGCTGGGGAACCTGATGATGATCCTGCTAATCAATGCCACCCCCCAGCTCCACACCCCCATGTATTTCTTCCTGACTCACTTATCTCTCATAGATTTTTGCCTTTCCTCCGCTATCATCCCAAAAGCACTGGAGACCTTCCTGCTGGGGAGAAGCCACATCTCTTTTTTGGGTTGCTTCGCCCAGATATATTTTTTCCTTGCTCTGATCATCTGCGAGTGCTTCCTCCTGGTGGTGATGGCTTACGACCGATACACGGCCGTGTGCAAGCCACTGCTTTACACCACCACCATGTCCAGGGCGCGTTGCTATGGCGTGATGGTGCTGGTGTACGCCGCGGGCTTCCTCAGCTCCCTGGTGTACACCGTCCCAGCGGGGAGGTTGTCCTTCTGCCGAGCCAGGAGCATCAACCACTTCTTCTGCGAGCTGCCCACCCTCCTGCAGCTCTCCTGCTCCGATGCCCGCGCAAACGAGATCTTGCAGTTTGCCACTGCTGGGCTTATCATCGTGGGCTCTGTCCTGATGATCCTGGTGTCCTACGCTTACATCCTCTGCACCATCCTGCACATCCCTTTGGCCAGGAGGAGGCTTAAAGCTTTCTCTACCTGCAGCTCCCACCTGGCTGCCATCACCATCTTCTACGCGCCAGGGATGCTCGCCTACCTCCAGCCTTGCAAGGCTTGCTGGCGGGATCAGGCAAAGCTGGTTTCAATGTGTTACACCGTCCTGACCCCCACCCTCAACCCCCTCGTCTACAGCCTGAGGAACAAAGAGGTGAAGGGGGCCCTGAGGAGGCTGTGGGTGCAAAAGCTGGTGCCGCACCTATCCAGGTTTTGAAAACGCATTCGCAGCTCTTCAGTATTTTGGAGGTAATGAAGGAGTATGTGTTATCGGTCATTATTGGTCTGCTTACAGATGAGGAGATCACACAGCAAGTACAGCGTATGGAGAACTGGCATAATGAATTGTTCTCTTAAACAACTTCGGTTTATTTTCATTGTGGTGTGAGCCTTCAATAATTAAGCAGAATAATTGTCAGTGCTTTCCTAGCAAAACTGAAATAGTACCGTGATGGTTTGTGTCTAAATTGTGTTGAATGAAAACATTGCCCACAAAAAGGATGTTCAAATTGGAGGTAAACAATTACTAATATTTCCATTGCCTGCTTGATGATCATTTTCCCCCCGAATAAGCTTAAAGAACGGAGGATCTGTTTAAGTCAGTGATACATGGAGAGCTGCAATGCAGCCCAGACCCTCAGGGTGGGATGTGACCATCCAGGTGAAGGTCCAGCTGTGACCTCAGATGAAATTTCTGACCAATGTATGGAAGGTCCACCAGAAAGCATAAAGCCATGGTGTTGGCTCCGGGGACCTGGAGCTGTGCTGGCAACTTATGGGCACACATATGTTAGCACGTTGCCAGAAGTGTGTCCAAACCAAATTCTTCTTGGGACGTGTTGTCTTTATGTCTACTAATCTTTTCCTTTTTGGATGATCAGTAACAGGTCCATGCTTTGTGTGGCAATTTGACTGAGTTATGACTTCTGTATGTCATCACATGGCTGAGGTGGAAGATGCCTAAAGAAAACTAGGCAAAGGTTTTTTAATATTTAATCAAGACACACCTTTTATCTTTAATGAAGTATACAATTTCTGGAAGAACATGTAGCCTGTATAATGACAAAGTGAATAAATTTTATGTTTTAAAATAAGCATCTTTGTAAACTGTGGTCTTCCTAAAAGAACTGTAATGAATAATGAATAAATGTGATGGCAACCAGTTAAAACCAGCTTTAAGCTGGTGTGAAGTAAAATGCTATAAAGCTTTTAATCAAAGTTTCTGAGGGAGTTTTCATGAAAAATAGAGGCATTTGGACAATTTCCCCAAGAAACAGAGAACGTGACGTCTGAAGCGCCTTATCCTCATGAATCAACAGGAGGGACAAGAATTGTTAACATGCAGCAAAGGATGTTAATGCTCCTTTATGCCCTGTCCTTCCATTGTCTGCACATAGGAATACATCAGAGAAGGCTGGATACGGTGCTGTAGCTGTGTTTAGGGCACTGGGTGGGGAAAAAAACCCGTTCCTCTCTCCCTGAGACAGCAGAGAGGGGAACCACTGTAATTGCCGTGGCCAGCATCACCTGGGGCCTCCACCCACACCCTCTGCCCAGGGCTCGGGGCACTATTTAAGCTCAGCCCTGGGTCTTCAACAATTTTTAGAGTTGTGCTTGGTCCTGGTTTTCAGCTTTCCTGGCTTGAATTTGGCCCTTGGTTTCCTCCAGGCCATTGATGGGTGCTATGGGACAGTGCCCTGCGGGTGAGGCTATTGCCTATCCTGCATTGTGGCTGCTTTCAGCTCCCACTTTGCCCTCCCTTATGGAGTAACTGGTTCTTGCTGCTCCCTGAGCCACGTTACAGTATGCAAACAGCATGAATAACTCTTAATGCAAAGCAAACCCCTCTGGAGTCCAAGCTGAGGATAAAACAAGCTGTTATGAAAGGTAAGTGTTATGAAGATCTCCTCCACCACCACCTTTTTCTGTGACTGTCTTGAGAAAAATGACCCCTGCTCAGCTACATGCTCTTGGTGGATTTTATTTTGCTCTGTATTACGTAGCCACAATGTAGACTCTTACATCCGAGTGAAAACCAGTTTGGATTATTGGTATAACAGTATACTGGGCATGCTTAGGTCATGATTTCTATGGCCATCTAAAAGAAATCATGCTAGGAGTATTTATCTTTTATTTTAGCTTCAAAAAAAACCCCCAATGTCTGGATTAACTCAGATGCAGCCATGTGCAAGTTAACACTAAGTGACAGATGACCCCCCTCTTCTCTCTATGGAGACCTGGCATCCCAGCTCATATTGCTCAAGGTCTCTAACAGGTTGCAGTCAGTTGTCTCTGCTTTGGAGAGCATGAGATTCTGCAGCATCCCTCAGTGGTACCTCCTCAGCTATGCAGTTGTCTTGGGGAAGAGCTGGTGGGAGGAAATATCACTTCCAACAGCTCCATGACAAGAAAATAGGGGAAAAAAACCCAAAACTTCTCCCTTGCTAGTTACATTCAATCATGCTAAACTCCTTGCCAATAGGGAGAAATACCACTCCTAGATGCTGCTGCTGCTTCTCCTCCTAAAGCAGATGTGAGATGCAGGTCAGATGAAGCCCATTTCTCTCTCATAGAGCAAATTGGGGTGATTTAGAAGCCTTGCAGCTGTAGGAAGCAAGGCATAGGATGAGATCCACCTGGGTGGCTGAGAGCACTGCTATGCTGCTGGGTACAGGCAGAGACAAACTGGAGCTTTCAGTCCTCAGGGATGAAAATGCCTGGGAGTTCTGCAGGAAAACATCCCAGCTGCTCAGGTGGAAGTCCCCTCCAGGTCTGGAGGCAAAGCAGCAGAGGTTTTTCAGTACAGACCCAGCTATGCTGCCTTCAGGCTGCGATGTTCTGGTCACTCAATGATTTAGCATCTTCCCGATGCTAGATCACAGCACTTACTGCTCTCCTTCCCCGGCAGGTCAGTGGTCTCTGCTTCTGCTCCCTTAATTTCCATGGCACATTCCCCTAGAAGCAAATGAGATTTTTTTTTTTTTTTACTCTTCTAGTTAGCCCAAAGTGAGGTGTAGGGGGTGTTTTTGGATATACGTCCCCAAAAGTCCCCAGTCCTCCTTGAACTTGCCTCTGGAGAAATCACTGCTTGAATCAGTGCAACTTCTTAAGAAGCTAAGCTTAAGAGGGAAATTCGTTATGAGCTTATTTTTACCACCTCCTATGATATTACATAATTTCACAGAAAGAAAAAAACAAACAAACAAAACCAAGAGATGACAAGGAAATGGTTATCAGAGGCCCATAATGACAGGATGTTTGGTAACACTGAGTCTCTGCAGATTTTAAACCATGCTTAAAATTTGCTGTACCTGCTTCTGTAAATATATGTGGTTCCTTACTCCTCCAGACAGCTGACATAGGACTATTTAAAAAGGGAAGCAGCAGGCATTTTATCAACTGTTTGGAGTCAGTTTGGTCAGCAGGCAACTCCCCAAAACGTTATTTGCGGTTGCTTTCCTAAGTGCATCCTTGACCTCCTTGTTCCTCAGGCTGTAGATCAGAGGGTTAAGCATAGGGATGACCAGGGTATAAAACACGGCGGTGACTTTCTCCATCTCCAGCGAGTACTTGGAGCCCGGCTGCATGTGGCTCAGCCCTGCAGGCACGTAGAACAAGGTAACGGTCAGGAGGTGGGAGGCACAGGTGGAGAAGGCTTTGTGCCTTCCTTTGACAGACCTAATCCTCAGGATGGAGACGAGGATGTACATGTATGAGATGATGATGATGAAGAGCACAGACATGGAAATGGTACCGTTGAAGGCTACAAGCAAAAGCTCATTGAGGTGGTCATCAGAGCAGGTGAGTTTCAGCAGAGGGTTAGTGTCACAGAAGTAATGGTTGATGACGTTGGGTCCACAAAAAGGCAATGGCAGCAAGCAACATGTTTGGATTAGTGAGTTCAAAATCCCCCCGACGTATGACCCGGCCACCAGCTGAACGCAGACTCTCTTGGGCATAGAAATAGTGTAAAGCAGCGGGTTGCAAATGGCTACGTAGCGGTCGTATGCCATCACAGCCAGCAAGAGCACCTCTGTGGTCACAAACACAAGGAAAAAGAAATGCTGGACAAAGCAGGCAGAGTAAGAAATGGTTTTCTTTTCCACCAAAAAACCAATAAGCAGCTTTGGTGAAAAGATGGAGGAGTAGCAAAGATCGATGACAGACAGATTGCAGAGGAAGAAGTACATGGCAGTGTGCAGCCGGGGGTTTGTCTTGATCAATGTGATCAGCCCAAGATTGCCCATCAGGGTGATGAGATAAATCATTAAGAACATCATGAAGAGAGGAGTCTGCAGCTTAGGCTCACTTGTCAGTCCTAGGAGGATGAACTGGGTCACGGTGGTGTGATTGCCTTGAGCCATATTACCGTACCTCATAGCAGCGTGCCTGCTGGCAGGAGGAGAAAGAGAAATAGGAAGGAGCAATGGCATGGCTTGCATATGATGCTGATATCAGCAAGTACTTTATTAGACTCTTTATTAAAACTACAAAGCTTTGATACTTGAGATGATAACATCTAACTGTGCTTAGGTTCTCTGCAAATCCTCACAGGCAGAGCAACTCTTTCAGAAATTGCATTCTGTCCTTACTCTAATCATGAGGCTAAATTAAAATTAGGTTTTTGCTTTTAAAAAAAACCAACCCCAATATTGAATGACTTCAAAACTGGAGAAGGGGTGAAGAATTTGCAGACTTCATCTCGTTTCATTAGGAGGCAGAAAAGGGGCAATGTATTTCATTTTCCCCATGAGAAGACTGAACACAAGTGAGTCATGACAACCCCAGGAAGCCCCGAATCCTCCGGGCCCTCTTGGATCAGCTCTGCCGGATCCCCGGCTGCCCACACCAACTCCGCAGCGAGCTGCCAGAGACTCACTCGGCAGCCTGGGACAGAAACTCCTCTGCTAGATGGCAAGAATAGGCTGAGCTGCCACACTTCTGTTGATAATTTTGGTCATGTTCCAGCACAGAGGAAATATTCCCCCCGCCACCAGTGCGGCAAATCACAGTGAGACAGGGGTTTATTACATTTAATTTTTGTATCTGCTCCAGCTCACCTTTTACTTATGTGTTTTTCTCCACTCAAGGTAGGGAAGGAAGGCATTTTCAGGCTGCTCTTCATAATTGTGAGACTAAGAAATGAATTGCATATAATGTGTTATGTATGTAATAGAAAGCTGTTACCTGTATTCACGGCAATCCAGGAGGTCAGGAGGGAGGGGGAAAAAAAAATTGCTTATTGGAAAGCTCCATGAAGCAGAAAGAAAACTGGTGCCTTCATTTTCAAACCACATAACACCTTGCACACAGGATTTTTTCTAATCAAGCTACTCCAGTGCCAGTTACTCTTTTTAGCAGAGGACAGCAGGTGTGAGGAATCCTTCATGTGCCTGAAAGACTAGTTTCTGGTATAAATAGTGGTTCTGGTATTAATTAACAATAATATCAGTGTGATAAACAGCAGTCGAAATCTTTGTTTAGAACAGAAAATGTAAGAGAACCACCACACGACACCCCCACCCCCCATCCCCCCAACCAGCTGGTAGTGAAAAATAACATCAACTACAAGCCAGGGAGAGAGGATAAACTATTTCTCTGCAGTATTGACACCAAAAGCTCGGGTGTCTCCTGATTTTCAAAGACACTTGTAATACCTTTTGTAAAGGCACGGTTGGAACATACTGAAATAGAGTGTGCTGCTGTTTCTCTTGCAGCATGCTGTCCTGGCGTGTGGAAGGATGCCGTGGGCGATGCCTGGCAGTTTTGCTCACACACCAGGCATCAGTGAATGTGTTACTTAATTTTCATTCTTGGGTTTAGCAGTTCCCATCAGGGTGGCTGTCTCACATTTGAGATATATCGCTGCACTCCACTTCTGTGGTACAAAACCAGATTCTTGTGTCTCTGTAACAGAGTTTTCACTTTACAAATATTTATAAGGTTCAAACATACCAGAAATAGCTGGTAGGATATTTCTAGGTTTTGGCTGCAGCTGCTTTTCCCTTCCACTAAAAGAACTTTTTTTGAGAATACTTGAAGATCCTTATAAACAAAAACCTGTAACAGATCCACCCAACCCTCCTGCTGGGACCAAGCTCTTGTCTTCTGCAAATGAGGAATAATACTGCAGCATGGGGAGAAGCAGAAGGTTGCTCTAAGCTCTGCAGCATGTTTTTATTCATCCTAGAGAAAAATCTTGAAGATTTCCTCAGGGGCTGGGACCTGCGTAACATGCCTTTCTGTGCTGCTGCATAGCACAGTCCTGCTCTTGTCTTCCAGCTGTCTTCCCTACTCAGTTTCTGTATGTTTAGGGCAGAAGAGCACCTTTCCAAATGTTTTCTCTGAGGTTTTTCACAATAAGATGGTGACACATACTTAGCAAGCCTGAAGATAATGCCTTGAAATTCAGACATATGGAGAATAAACAGTTCAGGTATATTCTGCTAATGAGCTTTTGTCCTGAATCAGTAAACTTGCAAGCTTGAGTGCTGTGGGGTTTAATCTTACTCCACATTGGAAGCCTGTGCCTACAGTCCTGCTTTCCTGCCTAATACCACATTCTTACCCAGCATCCAGATGCATCTTTCCATGATTTGCAGACAATACGTGTCCCTCGTCCTAAGGCAGAAAGAAGAAACGCGAGCTGTGTTCATTCTTCAAATTCCTCTGATCCTACAGGAGGAGGGAAGTGGCAGTTTGCAGATGTGATGCTCAGAAGCGAGACTGAGTAACGCAGCAGCTCCGTCAGCAAGAACCAAGGGTGTGTGGCACTGGGCTTTTGACCGGAGCGGGTGATGGCAGTGTCCCTAAGGAGCTTGTGCAGGGGGACAGCTTCTGAGTTTACTCACTTCTTTCACCCTCATCAATAAAATCCCTGAAGTTAAGTCTTAGCTGAGCAAAGAGCTTCACACCAGCCACAGAGGGGATTGTTAGAAACTCTCAGAAGCGTCTGGAAGAAGTTTGGGCTTGGGTCCTGCCCACCCCCAGCTAACTGTGCAAGGCTCATTAACCTTTTTTTGCTCAGTGCTGATGGGGAGGCAGGGGAAGTTTTCATCTGTGCTGAGCCACAGGTGGGAAAGAAGCCATAGGAGTGTGCTAAATAATGTTTAATGGGATGCTTGGGTTTGGAATTTGTTCTCCTGTTTGGACTGTGCAAGTTTAGAGCTTCACATAAACTCTACAGTTTAAGGTAGTTGAAAGCGTGAGTGCCAAAACCAAAGTCTAATGTGCACATAAATCGCTTTCTCTCTCTGCATGTTTAACAGTTTTTACAGCTCTGAGTTAGAAAAAAACTGATTTCTCAAGCTGATCGCTTCTGCGCCTGGAGATCACCATTGCAGCTGCATCCTATGCAAAACACCCCAAGGAAAGCCACGGAGGCAGAGAAGATGTGCTTCCAACCCAAAGGTACAAAGCGTAATGTGTACTTCAGTGTAAGAGCACAAGCCAAGTGTACAAACACCAGACTGTATTTCTGTAATCAGGGTAATCATGCTTATGATTTTACCTGAGGTTCATTAGAGAAATTATATTCATTTAAAGGTCTCTGTGTGCATCCCTTGAGAAAATGGTAGGCAGCAAACTTTACCATTGTGTTCCTTTAAGTAAATTAAAGGTATGTGAAAAGGCAGTTAAACTTTTCTAAGAATGTTTCATCATTCTGGTTTTATTCCTTGGACTATTCTTGGCATCGTAATAACGTGATACGTAATTATGTGATGAACTAAATGCTGTTCAGGTCAGCAAGAAGCGGGCAGGATGAGGGACTCTGCAACCAGTTATGGAGACCAGGGTCAGGTTGAAGACAGCAAGCCTGCAATTTCTCTTTCCTGCTGTTTAGTTTACTTCCTTGCTATAAGCATTTTTCTAACACTTACTTCCAAATATTATTATTTTTTTTAATCATCTTTCATTCCCTTGCCACAAAACCATTTCACTGTACCTTTCCACATGGTCACAATGAAGGTATTAAGTTAAAATAGGAGCATTTAATTAAGAAGCTCCTGTTAGGAAAAATTAAGGATTGAAACATTTAAGAGAACACACAATCCCAGTTCTTTGTCTTTACTGCATTTTGAAATGAAGTAACATAATTAAGTAATGAAATCCAGGTAGATAAAATGTCTGAACCACTATGACTACCATGTGAGTATCAGTTAAGGGTAACAGATCTCAGCAACACCACAGGAAAACACATTTCAATCAATTTTCACTGATAGCTTTCTACACATAATGAACACATTTCAAATGATAAGTATCTGCATCATTTAAAACTCATATAGTAGGCTACTTGTGTACTGTAATACTGTATAGCCTACTATATATCCTACAATATACAACATAGCCTACTATATATCATAGCTATTGTATCAGTAGTATGGCCTACTATGTATTATAAGTGTAGGGATAACTTACCTGGTGACCAAGTAAATCTGGATGGAAGGTAACAGGGGTGGAGGGCACATGGGAGGAGGAAGGCAGGAGAGGAAGAGGAAGGATGGAGGAAGCAGGATGTGGCGGACACTAAAATAATCCCAGAAGAGCCAGGCTTTCAAACTAACCTGCCCAGCGAGGCTGTCCCTTAAAGCCTCCTGGGAAAACTACACTAAGAACTTGGACTGGGCTCCACTTCTCCATTAGAAAAGAAAAACCAGGGAGAGGCTGTTTAGAAGTTGCTTAAACTGTCTGAGCAGGTTTTTCCAGCTGAAGGAAAAAAAGCTTGTCACTGAGCCACAAGAGGTAACAAGGATTCAGGGTTGGAAGCACAAATAATTGCAGATAGAAGCCTTATTAAATACCTAACTATGCAGAATAGGTGATAAAACATCACCCCTTGTGTTGATTTTAAAATCTGGTTTTTCCCTGCAGCACTTTTCTGGCTTTCTGGGTGCAGATTCTGCAAGTAATGTGATGGGAGAAGTGACAGCTGCATTGACACTTGTGGAAAGCAGAGCTGTCCATCCCAAAGCACATTGGCTAGAGCTGCCCTTGTTTGAAGCACTAAGGCTTCCTCTTGCCAAAATATCTCCAGCTTGGAATTACAGTTAAGCAGAGACCCTGTGAAAACCACCAGATCAGAGAAGCAGATGTGTAAATTTTGGGTGCTCTGCTCCAGGTGCCCCTTCCCACACGCACAGCAAGTTGCAACCAGGCAGGACATCCAACTCAGGAAGCTCCCTGCACAGCACTTGCTGCTGCTGTTTACACTATGTTTAAGAAAATTTCTGAGATGGCTTAAAAATCAGGATTATTTTAGCAATGTTCATGGAATTCTCTGTAAAACAAGCCCAGCTTCTTATTTTATAACTTGGCAGAGTTGACCCACAGATCTTCAATGTCTACAAAGCATCCAAAAGCCACTGTTAACATCAGAATTAAAACTTGAATTTTCTGTATTCAGGCCTGTGCTTGATTTGTTGGCTGTTGTCACTAAGAGGTTTCCCTCTAAGAACTGGTATTTTTCTTCACCTGTGCAGCCCTCAGCAACAAGGCTTAAGCCATCCCTCCAGAGAATGAGAAACACTGTATTTGTGTATAAATTTTATTCTGAAAACAAAACCCAGCACATAGCTTTGACAAGTAAGAGGAAAAGACTATGCAAAATACAGAATAAAATAAAAAAAAAAAGGCACCATCTTTTTTCTTCTTAGTCTAGGACCTGTCTCTGTGTGTAAAACATGGAAGGATGCCTCATGAAATCAGGGAGTGAACAGGATTCCATTCTAGGTTTATTGACATTTTTCTTTTTAAACACAAAACAGAACCTAGCAGCAAAATTCAGGCTTGGAGATCTGCAGTCTCAGCTCAGCTTGTCCTCAGTTTATGCACTATGAGCAGGCCAGAACTTTGCTGGAATTGGGATTACAACCTTTTTTTTTTTTTTTAAACAAAGAAAAGTGACTGCAATAAGGGAAGGAAAAACCATTACCAAACCCTCGTTCAAGGGAAGTTTACCTCGTTATTTCAAGTCTTCTTCCAAACTCCAGCGTGCCGTCCATTCACATCTCCCCAGATTTTCCTTCAGCCTCTGCTGCTTGCAGCTCCCTCTTTTTGGATGGATTGTGTCAGGCAGAAATCTCTCTTTATTATTTGTACCCAGTTCTCAGTCACTAGCTGTTCAACTTTTTATTTCTTAAATCAGAGAGGGTGTTTGTGATCAGTGCCTCCCTTTAACTCCACAGCCTGGGTATCACCTCCCGTTGTCTCCTCATCAAAAGTCTCAAACCAATGAACGCTGCTGCTGAATACAACTCCCTGGTTCCTCACCCCTCCAACCCCCCCATGCTGCGGTGGTTTCAGCTCTCTCCTAGCCTCATATGTTACTACTGCTGTGCAGGAAGACGCTTATTCGATTCACTAACCTAGCCTTGTTGGGAAGCACTTTAGCAGCATCCTTCCTAGCACTAACACGCAGGACAAAGACAACCGTTTGTTATTAGCCTAAAATTCCTGGTTGAGCACAAAACCCCATCACAGGGGTTTATGGTGGGACAGTGTGGCTATTTTCCCTTTTTGGTCTTTGCGGCTGCGGCGTTGTTGGTCTTGGCTTTCTTCTTTGCTGACCCCTTGGTCTCTGGCTCTTTGCGCTTGGCTGACGTGATAGAGCCCGTCACCTTGAAGAAGTCGTCCAGCCGGCCCTGCGTGCTGCCCTGCCGGCTTTTGCTCAGCCTCTTGACCCCGTTGCGGATCCGCTCCTCATTGAACTGCTTCTCCCCGCACATGAACTGGACGAGCTGCTCTTCATTCGGCTCGGTCCACTTCAGCTCAACAGAGTCGGGGTTGACCACATCAGGCTCTAGAAAAAGCTTCTGGGCCTCTTTGTGCAACCAGTTCTCAGGCAGAGGGTACTTCTTGGTGTCTATCTGCTGAATGATCTTCTCAATGGTTTTGTGCTCCTTGATGAGCTCAACAGCACGCTTGGGCCCAATGCCACGGATGCTCTCGCAGTAGTCACAGCCCAGGAGGATACACAGATCCACAAACTGCTCCCAGGTCAGGTCTAGATCCTGCAGAATACGATTCAGGTGAAACTCCTGGATGGGCAGCTTCTTTGTCTCGCTGGCAGTAAGGTGCCGCATCAGGACGGGACTGCCGAAGGTCAGGCAATCCATATCTTCTGTGGCAGCTGCGTAGACCTTCCCAGCCTTCACCAAGGTAGCACAGCTGGCTTCAGCCTCCCCCGGCGCCTCCACATAGGGGATGCCCATCAGTGTTAGTAACTTCTTGCACTCATCGGTGTGCTGCTGGGTCACCTTGACCAGCCTCTTGCTGTATTTCTCAATGTTGGTCTCCTCTCCAGCCTCCTGAGCCTCCTGCAGGTGTTTCTCGGCCTCAGCCCGGCGCTCAGTCCGCTTTGCCAGCTCCCCCGATTTCAGCTGCGGGGGCTTGCCGTCAAAGACGTAAACTGGCTTGATGCCGTTCTCCACCATGCGGATGGTCCGGTAGAACATGCCCATCAGGTGGCTTGTGGTCTCGCCCTCCTCGTTCTGAAGGACTTCAGCTCCCTGCCGCACGGCGATCAGGAACTGGTAGATGCTCATGGAAGCATCTATAGCGACCTTCCGGCCAAAGTAAGACTTGATGTCATTCTCCCGGATGGCGCCAGGAGCCACATCGGCAATAAGCTTGGCCAGGCCATGGATTCCCATCCTGGGGAACAGAAAAGGGGATGTTGGGATCAGCCTCTGCACACGCACGGTGCTGGGGGTTAACAGCTGGGCTGTGGGGGCAGCATACCCCCTAAGCAGGGGTGACCAAAGGGAGGTGGCTGCTTCCCTTGCAAACCATTACCCCACAGGCTGCAGCCTCCGCTGGCTGCCATTACCCAGCTTCCAGCCTCAGCCTCCCTCAGCCCACCATTATTGCCCTACTCACCATTGCACCCCCACCATACCATTATCCCCACTTCTGACCTCAGTCTCTCCCAGCCCAGCCCCACCATTATAACCATCCAGGTCCCATTATCCCCCCCATTCTCACCAACCTGTTTCCTGGCTCCACCATTACCCCCCTACCCACTATTACTTCTGGCCGCAGCCTCCCCAGGTCTGCCATTAACCCCTCCTCCTCCCCCAGCACGCCATTACCTCCCGCTCCTTCCATTATCAACCTCTTCCCAAGTTGGTCTCACCGGGCCCGCCCTTCCTACCCCCCCCTCCTCAGAGCCTGCCATCATCCTTCTTTCTAATCACAGCCTCACCATCACCCCCTCTTTCCGCTGTGGCTTCTCCTGGCCCGCAGACACCCACCCCAGGCCAGCCTCAGCGGCCATTA